TTTATATATTTCTGTATTGATTTCATACAAATTTATTTAATTTATATTTATTTTACTTATATTTGACTCACCTCCATGTCTGGTATGACCTTGACCTGTTCCTCTAAGTCCTTCAGTCGCTTCAGGCTCAGCGCCATTTGCTCGCGTATCTGGCAGAGTGCCTGCGCATCCGCCGTGGTCTGCCCAGCCTCGGAGCTGGCGGGCGACTGCAGCGGGCTGGCAGTGTCGTGTCCATTGGTCTCCTTGGTGCTTTTGGGCGTGGCCGTCAGATGATGGCGACGCGGCGGCGGTGGGGGTGGCGCGCCCTTGACCTGCTCCAGCTGCTCCACCGGCGACTTGGCATTGGCCGCCACCGTGGCCAGCACATAGCTCTCGTACTGCACCTCGCCGGGACTGGGCCGCTGCTGCAGAGGCAGCGTGTTCGAGCGCTGGAAGAGATGCGGAGTGCTCGAGCGCGGCGAGCGGTTGCCAGCCATGCAGGAGTCTATAAAAAGATGCAAATACAGTTTAGACCACGGCTCGCTTTTAGCCAACTTCTCGGCTGGTTACTTGCTCTGTCTATGGATTTGCTCAAAACTATTTTAATTTGCAGACTTGCCATAGACGCTCACAGTTTGCTACTGACGGCGCGACGGCCGAAGAAAAAAAGTCACTCGCTTGCTATTTTAATATTTTAATATTAGTGATAAAACAATGTTAATACATATCTATCGAAACTGTGCCACAGCGCGCATAATTTGCACACACAATGAAAGAAGCGAAATAAATAAACAAACTGCAAACTGAGTGTAAATGCCAAAAGACAGAAGGCAAAAGCCACAAGCCAAAAGCCAAAAGAGACTTGGCTCTCTCTCTCCCTCTCTCTCTCTCTCTCTCTCTCTCTCTCTCTCTGTCCTCTGTGTGCTTCTGCCTGACTGCTGATAAGTCGGGGCGCCGACTGTTGTCGCTATTATTCAATATTGATTTTACCTACATACAGACAATATATTGCACTCGTTTGTTTATATAAGAGACAACGAGCCTTCCGCCCGACTCGGGCACTGCCCGACTTCCATTCCAATTGATAGTGGCAAATGCTTATCTCCAACTAGTTCATATATGTATATCTACGATCTGGCCATGAATCGCTGACAAATGCAAAAATTGTGAAGTTGAAGTGTTGTARGTGTTTACCAATGAATAAAAGTTATTTTTTTTTTTTTTTATAAATTTTGGGCATATATTTATTTTTATATATTTATCTGCCTATAAGTAAAATAAAATTTCCATCATGAATATAACAATATAAATTAATGCTTCTTCAATAGTAAGTTTTCCATTTCTAGAATTGATACTTCAAAATTGTTTGACTCGATAAGTTACGAACAGTTGAGTATCTTTTCATATATTTATATGATGTTTCTTTTTTACAAGACTTTTATTTTTAATTTAAATATTAAGTGATTAAATAAAGATGAAATATATAAAATTAAAATCTACTCTCAAATAGAAAAATTACATAAAAAAAAAAAAATAAAATACTGCGATTAAATAAGGGTGGATTCATGAATTAGAAATAATCAATAATTTCGTAATAAACATAATGTAATACTGTGAAGGTAATAATAGACAGATTTTTAAGTAGTGATCGAATATGAAGTTTATATTTGTATTTTGCAGCACTACTATTTCCATGACCTCAAGTGTATATGTATTAGAAAATTTTACAGAACATTTGAAGGCTATGTTGGAAATCTATGAAATAAATTAACAAATAATTCATATTCCACAATTGAATTACTTTATTCCATATATAATTAATAATAATATATCTACAAATTATTCAAGATGCTGCAGACTGATCAGTTGGTCTATGAAAATATCAAAGTTTAACCCAAAATATAAATAAACATACATATTATATATATGTACATATTTCAAGGTCTTATCAGTTTAAATTGCAAGTTAAATATTGCTGCTAATGCATAATTCCTAAGCACTCACAAAGCAATATGCCGCAGTAATAATTCAAATTCAACAAAAATTCTATCTGCGTGTACGCATAGCTTTCTCAGGCACTGTCTTTCGACAGTTGTTACTCATCGCTTTTGCCGGCTGCCAAGTCTTTTTTTATTGTCGCTGCTCCATTTGCTACTATTACTTAATTCTATGCTAAGCGAGCGACTTCTGTGCACTGAACTCTGGCTAAGACGATTTAAATAAAGAAAGCAAAAACAAAATGAAATAAAAATAAAATAGCAGAGAAGATTTCTATTTTGTGCGCGCTGTGCGCTGCCAAGTTGGCTCAGCTGTCGAGAAAGATGGTCAAGGCAAGGCTGGCCGCAAGGGGCGCAAGTCGCGTGTTTGGTAGCATTGACCGGGCCATAATTAATCAGTTTTCATGGGCCAGAAAATTAGCGAAATGAAAATCAAAAAGCCGCCCAGCTTTGCCCAGCTAATGTCCAATTTAATATAAATATATATATTTATAGTATCACATTTGGATTTCCCGCTGTGGCTAATCAACCTACAATCATTCCACCAGGTTCTCAATGGACTTTGCCTTGACGTCGTCGACTTTGTTTTGATCTTTCGAGTTGTCTCCTTGTTCCGCAATGTATCGCTGGCTGTGGCAAACATTGTTGTTGTTGTTATAGTTGTTGTTGTTGTTGTTAGTTGACTTTGATTTTTAGTTTGTTAATAGCACAATTATTTCGAACAAAAGCAGCTACACAATTAAGAGCACATTCAGCTAGCAGTCAAGGCGGCTGCCATTGCACTTTGTGTTAATGCGCGAAAAATAAAATACAAAAAGAAAAAAATAATAATAATAAAAATGTAATTTATTAACAATTTTTTTGACGACCTGGTTTGCTTTTTCGTTCGCTGTTAATTGAAGCATTGCGGTATTAATTTGATTTGATTTCTCAGCTATCAAGCAAACGGCTGGCACATTCACATCACAAATCGATGCGAATCGTATGGACGTCATGCGTTATCTCTCACAGTGCTGCACAGAATTCTGTGCACCACCATTCGCAACTCACTCTGCATGAATTCATATTTGATTCGCTTCAAAATCGTTAGCATTGGCATTGCAAATTGAAAAAACTGTTTGTCGAATTTATTCATGTAATTTTTTTTCTTTATAATTTATTTCGTTGTCTTTTTTTTTAGATTTTTCTCTTTGATGTTTTTTTTTTTTTTTTTTTTTGTCTTCTTCGATTGATTTATTCTTATCATATATTTTCACGCAACTCCTACGCAAATTCGTGTATTTTTTTGTGCTCTCCTTTGATCTCTATTCGATTATTCATCGTTTTCCGGTATAAAATTAGAATTCAGTTATTTACTGTAGTTTAAATGAGAGTTAATCAAAAAAATTTTATCAGGGTGTTCTATAAATAAAATCTTAGTTCGTTGGTTCTTCGGCGTTTGTCGATGCTCGTACTTTTTTTTTAAATTAAAAAAAAAAATTTTTTTTTTTTTGTGTCCGTCCGCACGTTTCTCGCTGATTAGTTGTTAATTGATTTTATTTTAATTATTTTKTATTGCACTTATTTTGCATATTCTAATTAAATTATATGTCTGGCTACATTCGGTTTAATTAAATTACTCGTTTAGATCATTTCGCTGGTTTAATTGCTTTTTATTTCGCTGCTAGACACATTTTTTTTATGTTTTTCGTTCGAAAGTCGTCGACAAACTGCGCTGAGATTTTCGAGCTGCTGGCAGCGGCGTAAAAGCAACAAAATTTATTTAGCAACAGTATTTTATTTTGTTATTATTTAACAGCTCTTGTGGCAGAGCACAGCAAAGCACAAAAAAAAAAAAAAATAAATAAATAAATTGTTATGTATTACTAACAAAAAGGAAAAACAGCGAGAATAGTATATTATACTGAGAGAGGTTCGCGAGTGGAGAGCCTCAGCGATAAGGTCGACGCACGCTCAGCAAACACAAATTGTACAACAGCAACAAATAGAAAAATCAAATAAAAATAAAGTCAAACTAGACAACAGTTTGCAGATAAGCTAAATGCATATAAATGATAATGCTGATTATTATAATGACGCGAAGAGAGTATTTGGCAATACATATACTTGTTCATATATTGAGAGAAACATATATATATATTTAGATTTACACATAAGAGCGGGGCCACTACGTTTCAAGGTGGATCTTCTCTTTGGGTTGCCTCATCGTTTTACAGACAAATATTAACACGTTTTATTTGACTATTTGCCTATCGATTCGTGTTCGTATTCAATATTTGCCTTGCATAGACTTGACATATTATGCTCTATGGTTTCAATGAAAAAACGCCCCACAAATTTGTGGGGCAGTCAATCGATCAGCTGTGGGCAATCGATCAATTTATAAGCAATTAGTTATAATTTTAAAATTTGCTAAAATGTGTAACTAAATATAGAGCAGCATATATAACAAGGTAACTCGAATATTGTTGAAATATAGATAAGCTTAGATAAGCTAATGCTTCTTTCTGCTCATATGTTTTCTGTTAGGGATTATTGCACACTGGCGAACGCATGGCATATTTTCAAGAGCAGTCAGTCATGACTATATTTTGCAGCTACTGCCGAATGATCAATGATTAAGCAATTTTTAACTAGCTAAAAATAAGATTAGTGAAGTTGCTAATAATTAATTATCATGAGAAAAATATATCTAAATTTGGTACGGGTTATGCGTATTATGAGAGTAAATACTCTTTAAGAAATCGGGAGTGGAATGAAGATTTTAATGAAGTCATTTATCTTTCAAATTAATTAGCCAAAATATAGCTAAAGTCTAAGCAACAGCAACTCTTTATATATAATCAAAAATATATATGCTTCTTAAATATCAATATTATATCAATTTATAATTAT